CAATCTCCTTCTTTTGCAGTGGCTGTGCTTAAATCATGCACACACAATATAGCTCCCTATCTGGCTAAAAGCACCCTCTGAATCTGACAGTAAACTTCACCATGTGTGCGCATGCACCTGCAAGTGAAGTAGAATATCTTGAATGACATCTTCATTATACTTGGAGTTGTGTTTTGTTACGAATTCCAATTTGTCAGAATTTGGGCCAATTCAGAGATTGTTTAAATTCCCAGACTCCGAACTGAAATGTAGCCAAATCACAAACCACTCAATGGATGTGCATGTTCGTTTGATAAGTGATTCTGAATTCTGCCCATCGCACCAAAAAAATAAAAAGAGATGATTGATGGCTAAAGCCACTAAATGTTGATTTTATTTACAGATGAAGGGAGAAGGGATCAAGAGGGAAAAACTGAGGAGCAGTAAAAAAATAAAAATCTGTTTTTATATAATCCATATTCAATAAATATATAATAATTACTGTTATGCATAATGCCGGCTGGATATCTCAAGTAAAATTTTAAGAAGTCTTTCTTGAGCATAGAAACTCAAGTTCCAAGCTTGACATGCAACTGAGCACAGACAGGCACATACTGCATTCTTGCAGGTACCCTTAGCAGTGGTCCAAAAGAGCCAGTGACCATATGCCAATGACCAGACGTCTGACTTCAGATATGCAATATTTTTTGTATTTGCACTGTGGAAGTTTTGTCTTGTTTGATATCACTACAATCCATTTAATACCTAATATATTTACTGTGCCTACCCTCTATTGGTTACTTTTTCTCACTTGGTATTAAATGTGCCTATATTGTGTATATATTTTTCGGTAAACTGACTGACTCATTTTCACACCCTTTTGGTTCATCTGATTAGTTTTCCCAATTTTAGTTCAAAATTCAGACAGGTTAAAAAAACCTAAGGGCTGCAATTATAAGGTAAATTTGTATGGATAAAGTTACAGCACCATGATAACTACAATAAATGGTAGTAGCTATGGCACCTGGGGTGTCCCTTTCATCTGTGGTTCTTCACTGCAAATGCATTCCTACTTTGTAGAAATATACAGTGGTACAAAAATGTTTATATTCTCTGTACTTCCAATGGTCCCATTCTGGTTTTAATATAAATGTATGCCTGTATTAACAAGGGATGCATTTCTTGTTTGTTTTCTAGTACAACATTGCTTATTATTAATGGTAAGCCTCCCTCCGATGAACTCAAAGAAAATTCTTACTAGTTAAACGAGGAACACAGTTAAAAAGAAAAAAGAAAACAAAAACATTGATTAAAGGGACACTCCACAACCCAAATTCTAAATAAATAATAATAAATAAATAAAAAACACTCTTTAGTAGATACTGAAAAGGAAACTGTGTATGTATTTTTTCATTGGGGTAATTTTAAAAACAGCTTGCAAAACCTGCAGATTTCTTGTATGCTGCCTTTGCAAGCCCTCCCCTTCTGGAGTGTCTCTTTAACAGAGTATAAAATATATCTGCATGTTATGCTAAATGATTTTAAAACACTTTGAAGTTAATTACACACACACATATATGCCGCACCTGCCCGAAATCAAGCTGAAAGCATGCTGTGCAATCGGTGTTCCTAACACCCAAATTTTCCAGCCCAAGTTCGCAAGGAAATACCAAAAATACACTCCATCATGCCATTCTTAATATATCAGAAAGTGAATGCTAAGGCACTAAAGTAATTAAGGCTAACTAAAAGTGACTTAAAAACATAAATTATGTCCAGGAAAATGGTTCTCCAAAATGCTACTGCCTCATAAAGGTATCATACCCATTGAGGAGGATAATTAAAAAGGGAACTTTTAAGGCAAAGTCAACCCCTGTTAATAATAATGATAACCTTCTTGAATTTAGAATTAGAGAAATATCAAAAGTTGCAGTACAGTATATAAACTGTAAATAATTGATTGTTTGATTGCTACCTCCTGTCCTGTTGTGTTTTACGACCCACCTCCTATAAACTGTAAGCTTGTTTGAGCAGGGTCCTCTTCAACCTATCGTTCCTGTAAGTTTTCTTGTAATTGTCCTATTTATAGTTAAATCCCCCTCTCATAATATTGTAAAGTGCTGCAGAATCTGTTGGCGCTATAGAAATGGCAATAATAATATACAGTGGGACCTCGGTTTACAAACGCCTCGGTTAACATAATTTTCGGTTTACAAATGAAAATCCATTGAATATAATGCCTCGGTTTACAAAACAATTTCGCAATACAAAGCAAATTTGCCCAGGATGCATTGCACCAGGGAGGTTTATAGCACCGCTCCCTGCATGCTGGAGCCTGTGGGTAGCACATGGCATCGAGTGTGGAGGTGTTGGAGCGGCTTTTGCATCAAGTTTTGGAGCCATTCTGGAAATTGTTTGCAGTTGTTTTGGGACTTTTTGGTGCATTTCTCAAGTTGTGGAAAGGTAGGGAGCTGAGCTTCGTTGTTTACATGCCTTTTACTGCGTGTTCTGCATTGTGGGTTGGTTACCATGCCAGCTCATTTTGACTTTTTTCTGACCTCCAGAATGGATTAATTGGTTTTCAATGCATTCCTATGGGAAACTGTGTTTCAGTTTACAAATTTTTCGCAATAAGAAACGTCCAGAGAACGCATCAATTTTGTAAACCGAGGTCCCACTGTTTATATTAGGATGTTACAACCATACATGTGTAAGGATCCTGTGCTGGGCTCCAACCGACAGGTTGCACTATTTTTTATTTGTTTTGTTAGATCAGGAAGGGGATGCAACCAAATCTAGTTCTCCCCTGAGGAGCCTACCAGCCACCAGCTTATGATTGTGTATAAAGATGCCTTATTCAGCATGGTGCCGATTGATTTGACTGATAGCGCCATGTGCTCTTTGTGTTGGCAGTGTAGATGAGCTCCGTACTACAACTGAGTACCTCTGCCACGTCAGCTTGCTTTCTGCTATTAGGGACTCTGGAGCACTGAAGCTTGACTCAGGTCTTTGAGGACCTCTTTCACTGGGCGAGGCTGCAGTTCTCTTCTTCCAGGCAGGTATCATCTCCTCTGCTTTTGCCTCTTCTGTTCCTCTCTCAGATAGGTACCAACACCTCTGCATACAGTGTCTCCAACTATATCCTTTATAAAGGCACTTGGGGCTCCCAAAAATATGGAACCAGTACTGTTAGTCAACAGGTCCGAAAACATTGTTACTGAACAAACCAAACAGGACACACAATTTCCAAAGAAACTAACACACAATATTTTATTTACACTCAGGATTAGCCCCTATCCACATTACCTTATGGTGACACACTCAATTCAATACATATAACCAAATCCTGTGTGGAGTTATACAGGCACTCATAATAATACAATACAATATTTATAAACTGTGTGGAAGACAAAGACAAACAAGAAATACATCCCCTGCCTGCATAAACCATAATATGCAAATCTATCTGATTATGCAAATTATGTGTCTGTGTGTTTGTCACTGTAAGGGTGTGTCTGTATGTGTGCATTTGTAAGTGTTTTTGTGTTTCATTGAGTGTGCCCCCTCTACAATCTTTAACCCTCTGCATTTATTAGTTTTCCACAGAAGATTGACAACTGCCAGCAACACATATCACAACAATAAAGTACTTCTTATGGGATAAGCTTGACTGCAAAATGAAATTTGGCACATACATGTTGACATATGAATACATTTTCAAGATTTTTCTAGAAAAAGTTTTTTTCTGTCTAGTTTACGTTTTTATCAAGTTGTATTGCTACATATGTCATTGGGATTCTTACTAATAACCATTAGCAGGTTATTTTACATTTTAAATTATATTAAAAAATTCTATTAAAAAAAAAATCTTTTTGTATTTCTGTAAATAAAATAATAAATCAAACTTTTACATTTACATAATTTTTATTTCATGCATCTCTAAATTGCAATTCATGGGCAAAGTGTATACTTTATCCAACATTTGTTTGTCATGCATCACGTTTCAAATGCTGTGCTAAAATTGTTAACAGTGCTTGGTTGTGAAGGTGTTAAGATAAATAATGGTTGTAGCAGAACCACCGTTCATTTGTGTATTTTCCCCTTTGTGTTATGTCTTTCCCCTGGATTTCCGGGCTGGAAGGAGAGTAGTTTATCTGGGAAAGGGGGCTGCTACACCACATAGCGGAGTGCATAGGAAGAAGTACATTCTGGCCATTGTGGACTATGCTACTTAGTACCCAGAGGCAGTCGCCCTGAACAATATTCAGGCAGAGGCTGTAGCTGAAGCCTTGATGCGAGTGTTCTCCCGGATGAGGTTTCCCTGGGAGATTGTCTCCATTCGGGGAAACCAGTTTACTGCTGAGATGACTAACCAACTGTGGAAGTTTTGCGGCATTAAACCGATCCTGAGCTCCCAATACCACCCCCAGCCTGTGCGAGCGCTTCAATGGCACGTTGAAGCAGATGCTCCGTACCTTTGCACCAACTTGCAAGGATTGGGAAAGATTCCACATCTCCTGTTCGCAAATCAGGAGGTGCCCCAGGAGTCTACAGGGTTTTCTCCATTTGAATTGTTATTCGGGCGGAGGGTTCAAGGGTCCCTAGATCTTGTCTGAGAACAAGGAGGGAAATGTTGATCAGGAAGGGACCCCCCATCGTCCCCTGTGTGCTGGAGCTGTGGAACCGACTGGAGGAACTCCCCCATCTGGTGCAGGGGAACCTCAGGGCAGCCCAGGAGCGCCAGCGCACTTGCTATAATCAGGGAGCCAGGAGCCGTAGCTTTCCAGCAGGTAAACAGCTGCTGGTTGTCCATGGGCCTCCCCAGTAGTGCTGGTACAGAAATGAGACAGAGCTACCCAGTTTTGTGTAGACTACAGGAGGCTCAATGACAAGTTGGTCCCCGTATAGATGAGCTATTAGACAGGATGGGGACTGCTAGCTACTAGGGGAAGTTCATCCCCAACTACAGCGCCCCAGCAATCCCCTCACCGACCTAACCAAAAAGACAGGTAAACTGGACCCCAGAGTGTGAGCAGGTGTTCCATGCCCTCAAAAACGCCCTGGATTATGAGCAGTGCTGAGTCAGGTCGGGGATGATGGCGGAGAACACCCAATAGCTTACCTCAGTCAAAAACTACTACCCAGGGACCTGAGCTATGCCGCCATTGAGAAGGAGTGCCTGGTGGTGGTGTGGGCATTCAGAATGCTGCAGCCCTATATCAACGGACAGCAATTCACACTGCTCACAGATCACAACGCATTGGTGTGACTTAACCGGGTAACGAGAGACAATGCCAGGCTGTTACAGTGGAGCCTGGTGCAACAACCATATGACTTTACCATTCATTACAGGCCCAGAAAGCAAAACAGGAATGGTGACGGGTTGGCAAGAGAGACAAAACTGGAAAGTGATCTGTGAGTACTCCCCCAGACATCCCCAAGCGATCGGTTGGGATCAGACTGTGTATGCAGGTTTGTGGTTAAGGGGGAGCTGTGTGGCAGAACCACTGTTTACTCATGTATTTCCCCCTTTGTGTTATGTGTTTCCCCTGGCTTTCGTGTATTATGCCCTGTTTCCCTGTTCGGGAGCGTTTATATGAATGGAACCCATTTGTCTCCCGACAATTAATTAGAACGTTCACACCCATAAGATAAGTGCGAAACCACAAGGAAAGTAATTAATGAACACTCCCCTAGGTGGCCGCAATTTCGTATAGATGAATGCCAACCAGGGGGAGCATTCGTATCCCGAAAGGAGACGCTTCCCTTGCAGGGGTTCACACACGAGCTGCGCGAACTTAGACCAGTCTAGGAAATGTATGGTGTGAGGGTTCATATGGTTGGGGGGGACACCTTTTGGGGCACTGGCTAGTTTGGCAGTCTTTTTGTGCCTTGGAGACACTGTGCCCGGGCTCCCAGGCACAGTGGATCCTGGGATGAAGACCCCTGACATTGGGGATGGAGACCCCTTGTATGGGGGGCGGGCTTTCTGTGCCTAGGAGACAAAGAGAATAGGTCCCCTTTCCCACGCCCGGGCTCCCAGGTACAGAGGATCCTGTGATAGAAATCCCTGTGTGTCTGTGTGGAAGACCCCTTGCAAGGGGTTATGCATAAAAGCTGAGTGTGGCACAATAAAATCATGTTGAACTCCTAGAGCTGTGTCTCGTCCAGTTACTGGGGGAAAATGGATGCCTGCTTGTTGAAAGGGTTCCTGAGTGGTGAAGTAAGATATTAGTAGAGGTAGCCGGTCGGGTTACCCGGGGTCTGCTACTATGGTAATATCTGTTGTAAAAAATCCCTGCAAGGCAAAAAAAACAAAAACGTTTTTCATCTGCTGCTAGATACAAACCTTCTTGGGAATATAAACCATCCGTAAGACAGGTTACTATTATTAATTAACTATAGGAAAGTTGAAAAATATATTTAAATGAATACAATCAATCAGGAAAACATTTACTTTGTATGGAATCTTTTGAAAACCTCCAGTTAAGTAAAATCAATAATACATAAAATATCATGTAATCACATTTCATTAAATGGTTATTTTCAATACTGACCATTAAGTAAAGATTAACAATATTATATAGGTAATATTATCTTCCTTTCAGTTAAACAGTCAGATCTCCTGCTCTCATTTAGAATGTTTTCCCACAAAAAATAAAAGTAGATAACATAATGATATGAAACATACATAATTGAAATATATATAGCAAGGTAACACACTTAAGTACAATCTTGTTTTTTTTGTAAAAAAAAAAAATAATACATTTAAATAATACTCATAATGATTAAATAATGAAAAAAATACTGGAGTTGTTAATGTTTATGCAGCTGAAAGGAATTTACTATTCTAGAAAACAAATCATATACTAAAAACGCACAATATGTACCCATGTTGCATGAACAGTTATACACTAATAACAGTGAATGGTTGATGTCTCAGTGAATACGACTATCTCTCTGTGTATGATATAGAAATAGACATCTGTTTTATGCACCTTAGACCAAATGGTGCCTCTGTAGAACTCTTCAAGTATGTTGCAAATCTGTGAAGAAATCATTGAAGGTTTGTAGTTGGAGATCTAAATCTGAGCATTGCTTCTCTAGCAGTAAATTCCTTACATACAGTTTCCATTAAATGACCTCAGTCTGAAAGGAATGCTGGATACATTTAACTAGTTCAGGGATGTATTGTGATATGATCCTGTATGTTTATATAACCTGAAGCAAACCTCATCTTTAAATTACACATCTTGCTTTGATTAGGCACTCTTGGGTGGTTAATGTTCACATTTTAATGTTTGTTACCCTGCTATATATCATATTTTGAAAACCACGTAGAATGCAATATTTTTTTTTTATTTAAAGGTTTAGTTTTTTTTTTTTAATTCTCTTAATTATTCAGTTTACTTGAGCAAAAATAATCAACCATTAAATAACACTTTTCAAAAAATAATTGCACATCTCCAAGCCATGGCATCCTCATCCATATTAGCATGGCCACCACCAATGCTTCTTCCTGTCCCCCAGGTGCAACTCTTTAATACAAATTCAAACCTAATTCTGAGTCAACTACAGACCATACACCAAGTCACTTCTCTTCTTGAATGAACACACTTCTCTTCACCACCAACGTCAGTAGTTCCACCTAATTCTTATACACCTAGCTTTCTGTCTCTATTCTACAGTCTACATTCTGCATACTCATTGTCTTCTGTTTTCTCCTAATTCAATACCGAGTGGTTGTGAAGAACTGCTTCTGGATTCTAGCTTCATCATGCTCACTGTGCATGGTCTACTGATTAAAAAGCAGCACTTCCTATAGTGGCACAAACATGGATACATTTCTAATACATTTGAATTTTCTTCCCACATTTTTTTTTTGTCTCAGTGGACATTTCTCCATGTCTCCTCTTGAGTGGGTGGTTTCTCTTCTCCATTTAGTTCATTAACATCTATTTTATATTAACCAGCTTAATAGTTCAACATTTAGAATCTAATAGTCAAGTATTGATATTTTTATTTAAAACACATCAGCATATTGCACTGCGATATATAGTAGATATATAATCATACACATAATTGGCATCAAACATACTAAGGCATGCAGATACATGTAGCCATCAAGGACCTGGTTAGAAAGTATTACAGTATAGCTAAGTATAAAATATAAAGTGCAGCGTATCCAGATTTAAAGACTGATTGCGTGGTACACAAACCATATCTAGCAACACGTATATCATATTACATATACAATAACTGAGTAGAAAACAGGTGTGAAAAGAGAATACTGCTGTGTATAGAAAAGCTACATGGTAAACAGTTTGCTTTACAAGAGAAATGTTGGGGATTTTTTAAGGATCTTTCTGTAAGAGCTAGAAATTTGGAGAAAGGTAAATAAATCATTTTAGAGAGGAATACATTGGATTACTGAGGTCTAAGGCTGTACCACCTCTAAACGGAATCTGTTTTTTATATTTCCTCCATGTATTTGAAAAAAACAACCTGTTCCTAATGAGACTAAATGTGTTCTAAAGTTTTTAATGGAAATAAATTCCCTTAAAACCCTTAAACATGTCCTAACAAATAATACACAGGGGCAATATAACTCAGTTTGTCACTGAAAGGAGATATATACATACTTTTAAACATAGTTGCATAAAAGTAACACAAAGTGAAGCACAACATGCACAAAGGGAAGCACAACAGTGTCTTGGTGATTTAGCACATGTGGATCATATGTTATCTATTTAGGGGGGGTATGTATTCTTGCACTATCCCCTACATGATTAGACTGGACCTGAGGAAGACGACCCTGATAGGGTTGAAACGTGTTGTGTCTGGCATTGTCTTTAAGAACTGTCTGTTAAAGACACCTTACTCAGATGTAAGAGTTGATTTGTTCTTATGTGAATATATTTTATGTTGTATTTTTAATTTGGTGTTTCTTCATCTTTATGTTGATTAGGAGGATTTACTGACACAATTCTCACCTGGAGAGGAATTCCTCACCACCCATATGCTGATATACTTGAGCCAGTATCATGCAGGCTTGTGAAAATATGAGTGAGATGTTTTATATCTTTCAGCTACTATTGGAAGAAAACTATATTTGGTATATATGTATATATAAAATATATAAAAATATATATAAAAGGATATGACATTTTATATCCTTTTGTGATTCACTAAACACAGCGCACTGATATATAACATACACAGAGTGTGCTACGCACCCTTTATTTTTTTGTCTTCTGTTGCATATATTGTTATGGTGAAATTGAGTGGTTCATTTCACAGTGGGGTTTGGCTGCACTCAAGATTTGTTCAGCACCAATATATTTTGCACATTTGTATCGTGCGTGCGTGTGCGTCCAAAAAGGTGATGCTTCATGCATGATTGGGCCCTGTGCGAGCGCACCTATAGGGTGCAGCCACATGGTGTCGATCGGGCACCCTGACACTAATAAGCCTGTATTATACAGTGTTTTTTTCTTACTGCAAAGTGTATATCAGCAGAAGAATACAATCACTTTTATTAAGTCTATGCCTTAGCATGATGTGTGTTGTAGTCCAATACAGTAAATATTTATATATTTTTAAGGTTCTATGAATTAGTAGAGCCACAGACAACAATAAAGGTTTTGCGAAAGGCAAGTCTGTAAAGTTTATCTTAATACTCTTTATGTATATTTTATTACTATTTTTACTCAAATAATTAGCATTCAACTTTTATACAAAATAATAATAATTATATATTCATAATATATATATATAAAACCAGTCATCTCTTTATCGTTCTCTAACACGAGACACGCAAAGCAGAAGAGCTAAAAATCTTGTTTTCCTTGACATTACTAATACTTTGACAAAATGTATTGCTTTATTGGTCACCTTTGCCATAAATCTTGACTATAGAACTCTGATAAACAGGCCCCTATGTCTATTTAAAGAAACTAATAAGTATAGTCCTCAAGGAGCAGTGATAGTACATTCTGACCAGTTTTGCAACAGTAAATTACTTTTTGATGATAAAATGCAATACATTGTCAGTTTTCGTCTAGTTTACCCTAATGTAACAATGCAATGATTTGTGGACCCAGGACATACTTGAAAATGAGAGAAATCTCAATGTATCTTTCCTGGTAAAATATTTTATAAATAAATAGTTTCAAGGTGGGGGTTGTAATCCAGTGCTGAACTGCATTAGTCAAGGATGTAGGAACCGGGGAGTGGTGCATCCCCAGGGCCGGCGCTACCTGTTAGGCGGACTAGGCAGCCGCCTAGGGCGCCCCTTGGGAAGGGGCGCCGCCAGGAGCGCCGGCCCCCCTAATGCTGCAGCCTGTCCCTGCAGGCCTTTTAATGTAA